TTGGTGGCTAGGAAAATATCGGTGTTAATAAAAAGTTAAATTTACTCTAGGTTTTTACCAATTTTCGGATATATACTGTTTTTAATCAAAGTTTTGGTAAATAAAAAATAGCATGACAACACCGCATAGTGTTTCAAAAAAAAATAGTGTACTATATGCTGAACCCAATACTGTACAGAAAAATGGGGGTTGAAATTTGAAAAAAAGTTATAACTTTATCATTCCTTTTTTTGGGACTCCCTGTATACAACGAAACATTTTTAGGATATGCACCTTTATAAACCATGCAACATTTATTAAAAAACTTTGTCAAGAACGACGCTATTGGACGATAACGTTCACATTCATAAATGTGAACTTTTCCCCCATATGTGTTCGAATTTCTTTTCCACCCTGTATATAGACAGTTTTGAACATAACGAAATATAAACTCGATTCATAGAAAAGAAGATAACCCCGATTACTACCATTTATCGACGGCTTCAAACCAGCAATAACTGACGAAGGACTGATAATACAATGGCTGAACGTCAGTTATAGAGAGGTAGGATATCCAACCCTTAGTTGGCAAACTTCAGTCTCGCGTAAAAAATAAAACAGGTAAAATGTTTTTTTTTCTTTCCTTCTAGGACAATTATTAGTGAAAAAAATTAACTGAACTTTAAAAAAACAAGACAAAAAAAAAGTGTAAAAATCACACATTTGTTTAAGAATTTTAGAAATAATATTTGACATATTAATGTTTATTCGCAAATAAGTAAATGAAAAATCTCTAATTTCTAAAAATATCTGTAAAGTTAGGTTAACTCACAACATACTGTAACTCACATGAGCGCAAGCGCATACTAGGATATTTTTAAGACAAGTAGGAGAAGTATTAACGGCATTTCCTTAAAATCTTAGGGTCAATGTTCAGGATACGGTTAGGACTTAGGACTAATACAAGTATGAACCAATCAAAAAAATTGTCACTGTCAAATCAGGAATAGCCTGGCATTACAAACTGTCAATTTGATGACGCATATGGCCTTGGATATTGTTTCTCCAATTTTACTAGTCCTGATAAAAAGCATATGATATTCAATCTAGTCAATATTAATATTTTTAAAAACATAAAACTTTTTTATATAAGATTTAGATGTTTTTTAGGAACAAAAATAGTATATTATTTAACGAAAAAAAAAATCAAACATGATACCAAATAGGCAAGTTATAGATTATTAGGAAAAGCCAACATTTTGAGAACCGCCGATTTATTCTTGACTTTTCTTTTTCTAAATTAAATTAACTACCGATGTTGCCGCATTAACACCAAAGTATATTATTTAACGAAAAAAAAATAAAAATAAAAATAACCTTCAAAAAAAACCTCTCCGAGAAAAACTAAAAAAATATACATTGAGAAATAAACAATAAGAAACTAACTTAAGGACATTTTAAGGAAAGAAATGGTATAGATAATACAGTGAACCTGTTTAATTTTCAACGCGAGACCTCAAAAAACCGCTGACTACAAAAATATGGCCATTTCTGCTCGACGCCAATCATAATAATAAAAATATACAAGGGAACATGCGATCCTTACTCTGTGTGTATTATTATTTTTAATTCTTCATCTTTGTCACTTATTTTTTCATTTTAAATTTAGACAAATAGAGAATAATTAAAGCCCCTGAACGCAATCTTTTTAATATTAACATTATTATTATTATTGTACTGTCTACCTCGCTAAGTTTTTTATTTATTTATTTAAAACATTTTCTGCGCTTGTGGGATGGTTTTGGTATTTCGTTTTTTTGACTTATTTTCTTTTGGACAGAAAAACCTAAGCGTGTAAGTACTAAAAAAATTAGAAATCACGTAATTACACTTCAGTTAATTTTTGAAGAAAATTCGGGATTATTGATTTTATTTGTCCAGTCACTTTTTTTTCTAGTACCAAAGCAAAATTACTGGAAATAAGTCACTTAAAAGCTACAGAATACAGGGTTGTTCAACACATACGACACGGAGTATTGTAGCTAAACGATTATATTTTTACAAATTTCAAGTTTTGGGTTCGATGAAGGATTATTAGAGATAAGATAAGATACAGAGTGTCCCAAATAAGTAAAAAATATCAAAGTTGTATTTTTTTAAAAGGAACACCCTGTATATTATTACATTTTTAGTTTCTACGATTAAAATAAAGGTAAATTTGATTAAGGTTTATTATACTTAAACCTTACCGTTTTTGAAATATTTTCAATTTTGTGAAATTGCAGTAAAAATTTTAAGGCTTCATTTCTCCAAGGGTATCAAAGTTTTTAATACTAAATATTTACTGAAGTTTATTTATTGATCAGTTATTGTGTTGCAATAATAAAAATAATACTACCTTATACAGAGCAATCTAAAAATTTATTTTAAATAATTTCTAGCTTTAAACGCCAATTACTTCTTTAATTTAAATGGAACGCCCTGTATATTTTAGGAGAATCAGATGCACAATTTAATTGTCTATCAAATTGTATTATACCATTTTTTACCTATCCCTTCAAGTTTTCGTAGAAAATGCATTTTCTTATAATTTAGACCCAATTTATCAATATACCCATGGAATATTGACATTTTAGATTGTTTTTAAAGCAACAAATGTACAAAATGTCAGGCTAGTAATATTATCGTTTTTAGCAAAACGATAATATTACTAGCCCATTTGTATGCAAAAAGAAAACTATTTAAATCTTTATAAAAGAGTATACCATTAATTAAATATAACACCATTATTTCCGCCCATATACTAATTAATTACATACTTAATTATGTTCGTTAATAAATTATTCTAAATAAATGTGGATTTGAGTCAGAAATGAATATAATAATAAGTTATCAACATTAACGTCTCTGTTGTTATAAATAAGCATTTATTAAAAAATGAAATATTATTTTAAGGTGTTACTTTTTACCACACCGTCAAATACATATACAAAACACAGTTTTTTTAGTATTTGGGGCAATATTATTAATCAACGCAAACAGTCAGTTAATGTAGTTTGAATACTGGAATCATATTAATTGGTTCTCTTTAACAAATATTTAAACAGTTTTTTTTATTTTTTAATGAAATAAACGAATTATATGGACAATAGAGTATCTGTACTCTTTAAAATTTGGTACATCTTTAAAAATAATCTAAAATGTCAATATGCCATGGGTATATTGATAGTTAAGTTCTAAATTACAAGAAAATGCATTTTCTACGGAAACTTAAAGAGATAGGTAAAAAATGGTATAATACAATTTGATAGACAATTAAATTGAGCATCTGATTCTCGTAAAATATACAGGGTGTTCCATTTAAATTAAACAAGTTATTGCCGTTTGAAGCTAATAATTAGTTAAAATAAATTTTTAGACACTCTGTATAAGGTAGTATTATTTTTATTATTGCAACACAATAACTGATCAATAAATAAACTTCAGTAAATATTTAGTATTAAAAACTTTGATACCCTTGGAGAAATGAAGCCTTAAAATTTTTACTGCAATTTCACAAAATTGAAAATATTTCAAAAACGGTAAGGTTTAAGTATAATAAACCTTAATCAAATTTACCTTTATTTTAATCGTAGAAACTAAAAATGTAATAATATACAGGGTGTTCCATTTAAAAAAATACAACTTTGATATTTTTTACTTGTTTGGGACACTCTGTATGTTGTAAAATTATTTTTAAATTGTACCTCTAATGGTCCTTCATCGAACCCAAAACTTACAATTTGTAAAAACCTCATCGTTTAGCTACAATACTCCGTGTCGTATGTGGTGAACAACCCTGTGTAATACATTTTTTTATAATATCAAAACTACGATAATTAAATTATTTCACTTCTTATTTCCACTATTTTTTCTTCAGATATATCAAAAGATTCATAAAATAGACTTTTATCAATAACCCCATAGGTTTTAGACGGAAAAAAATCATATACAGGGTGAGTAGTTTTTAATATCCAATCAGAGAGTATCTGAAGTTCTTTGTAATAAAGCCCAGTTGTCATACAATCAGTTCAGAATAAACCAAAATAATATAAACAAATCAAAATAATTTTTACTTCCCCAAAAAAACTCTCTACAGAAAAATGTATTAATATTGTCTGACTTCAAAACTGTCTCACCCTGTATATAAATCTTGTGGAACGCGGTGCAAGAGCATTATTGTACAAGCTACATCTAGAGATGTCTGGGAAAAAGAGTTAGGTATTTTCGTAGTTCTTTATACTTAACTTTAAAAAAGATATTGTTTCTTCTTCTTTTTCATAGTATTGGAGCAGGACCCCTCGGAAAAAATTCTTCGCTACGCCACAGGATTCAAAAAACATTTTGATATTGCAGTTTTGATTTTTCGGAACGTACCTGTATATTATGTGTATAAATATTTGTATGATTTTTTGATATTGTTAAATTCACTGAGATGGGATTCTGTGGCTCTAGAAGTATATAGATTTTTTGATACTCTGTATAACTTTAAGTGAAAATGTCTGTCAATTTTTGTTGTGTAGATTAATCATAATATGTATATTAAATTTTGACAAAAATTGGATTTTGGATTTATTTTTTACAGAAAGTAAAAAGTGGTTTTTAAAAGTTATTTTGTTATGATAGCTGGTGAAAAATTTGTTAAACCTGCGGTTCTAAAAAGTTTTCCAAAATTTTGAGGAAAAATATGACGATCTAATAATAATACAAAATGGCCCAAAAATTATTGGAACACAATACATACACCACAAATTCAAGATTTCACAGAATCCCACTAAAGCATCGTTCTAAACAGATGTGTGGTACAATTATTTGAGGTTACAGCGATCGGGGAGGGTAAAAACCAGAGGCGTACCGAAGAAAAATTCCAGGGGCGCGCGTATTGTACCCTACATTGACATTATCATTATTTTTTTAGATTTTTTTGGCTAAAAACTATTTTAACTGGTTTTGCAGGCTGCAGCTACACATTGACTACGGAATTGAAGCGCTATATCGTGTGGTTTTTATTTGTTTTAACGTGTGTTGGAGGGGGTAGTGGGGGTCCGGTGTAAATTATGCCGGACCCCGTGTTAATTTGTAAGTTAATTTGGTTGATTTTGTCGACAGACTCGTTATTTCGTCTATCCACGGCATCTGAAATCAATACATACACAAAATTGTTTTTTTTTTCATTTAAAAACTTTCATTTAGTAGTTCCGTAGTAAAAAGGTAAGGATTTTTTTCCCTAAATTTAGGGATAAAATTAATAAAATGGCAACATCGCATAAAAACTGAGTTTCTTTAAAAAAGATCAGTCTTACTGCAGCTAATTTTTGTGTTCAAACTACTCCTCTTTCATAGCAAAAGAGTAAGGATTTTTTCCCTAAATTTAGGTATAAAATTAATAAACTGGCAACATCGCATAAAAATTCACTTTCTTTAAAAAAGATCAGTCTTACTGTAGAGTACTTTTGTGTCCAAACTGCTATTGTTTCTTAGCAAAAAGGAAGAATTTTTCACTAAATTTATGGATAAAATTACTAAACTGGCAAGGCTGCAAAAACTGACTTTGTTTAAAAAAGATCAGTCCTACTGTAGAGTATTTTTGTGCTCCAACTACTACTGTTTCATAGCAAAAGAGTAAGGAAGATTTTTTCCCTAAATTTAGAGAAAAAATTACTAAACCGACAACATCGCATAAAAAAACGACTCCAGTTAAAATAAAACCGGCCCTATTGTCGAGTGTTTTAGAGTTCAAATTACTATTGTTTCATAGCAAAAAGTAAAGAAGGTTCCCCCTAAATTTAGGGGAAAAATTTGCAAAGTGACAATATTGCAAAAAAAAATACCCCAGTTTAGAAAGATTGCTGTTATTGTAGATTATTGTTTTTTGTTTCAATTATTATTGTTCCGTAGCAGTAAAGTAGGAAAGAATTTTTCCCTAAATTTAGGCATAAAAGTACTAAACTGACAACGCATGAAAAAAACTACAAAAGCTGAGATTGGTCTTTTAGGGTGCTTGACTGTTTCACTGCGCGTAATTACTATTATTCCATAGCAAAAAAAAAGAATGTTTTCACTAAATTTACAGAAAAATTACTAAACTGATAACATAAAATTTTCAAAAAAAAATTTAAGGGAAAAATATTAAATTGACAACAATGTCAACAAAAAAATCATTGGTTTACTTCTACAGCGTTTTGGCGGTCAAGTTTCCATAGCAAAAAATGGAATTTTTTCACTAAATTTAGGGAAAAATTATTGAACTGACAACATCGCATAAAAATCGATCCAGTTAAAAAAACGATTTATCTCATTGTAGAATGTTTCGGTGTTTAATACTGACCTTTATTTCTTCTCAAAAACCGATCCAAGACCGTTTTACACCTTGCCGCACCGTTTGCGCATCTTCGCCGGTTGATGTCTCGTCTTCTTCTTGGTCGACGGCTTTTCTTCTTCCTTTTCTTCGGAAGATTTCCGTTTGACGCCTCGAATTGAAGCGGCCGTGGCCGGGGAACTAGGTGGGGTATCGATCTGCCGAAGAAAATCGAAGAATTGGATCACCCTGTATATATAAAAAAATAAACGCACCTTTTTATCTTTAATTGGAGCATCTATTTCCGGTTTGGCCAACGCTTCCGGTTCAACGTCGACGGATTTACTAGAACCCTGCTCTGAATTCTGTACATTTAGTTCAGATATTGGTTCTAAACCTGCAACAACAAAAAAAATCACTAAATATTCCCAACCCTTGTTCATAATTCAATTTTCCACCGGCCTGTACAAATATAGAAATATTCTGTCACCAGATGGCGGTATTTTTTGTATACACTGACAATATCGCCGGGGGTTATTTGTTATTGAATTTTAAATTTGATCTTGTAAACACTGGTCTAATGTTTGCTATTGCTATATTTGCTAATGACATCGAAATGAATTTATTTAGAGGTCATTGATATTTTACTATAAACTAGCTAAATATCTTTGAATATTATTTTTATTTTTTGTTCTTTGACATTATAAATATTTATAAATGTTTATTTTAACAATAAGACTGACAATATTATTTGTATAATGTTTTGTATTATCTTTTGTTTGTTTGTTTGTGTACCTTGTTTTTTTTTACTTTGTTTGTTAGTTTACCTTTGTCTACAAATTGAAAATTTTTTTGACAATAAAGGCATTTATTTATTTATACCAATGCGAATTTAAAAACAAAAAAAACAGTACTTACCTAAACCCTCGGGATTCACGCCTTGATTGACCAAAGCCTGTAACTCTTCGGGATGGGGAATTACGGGACTGCCACAGGCGTTACATACGGCGGGTGTAGCGGGTGATTTGCACCGCCAATATTGCAGTTCCGTTTTGCATTTGTTCAGTTCCTGAAGCAGGGTGCTGAATTTTCTAGAGATCTCTTCGTTTTTCTTGTCGTACTCGTCCAATCTGAAACGATTTTAGTGCTTGGAGTCTTTGAATAAAGTTAATTCAGTGTTTACCCAATTTTATCACTGCAACTAACTCATAATTCCGTTAGATAATTTATTAAAAATTTGCATTCACTAGTGCCATAGCAAAAAAGTAAGGAAGATTTTTCCCTAGATTTAGGGAAAATTACCAAACTGACAACATTGCATAAAACTGACATTAAAAAAATATTAGTCTTATTGTAGAGTATCTTTGTGTTCAAATTACTATTGTTTCATAGCAAAAAGGTAAGAAAGACTTTTTCCTTAAATTTAGAGATAAAGTTACTAAACCGACAATATCGCATAAAAAATAACTCCAGTTAAAATAATACTAAACCTATTATCAAGTGTTTTAGAGTTCAAATTACTATTGTTTCATAGCAAAAAGTAAGATTTTTTTTCTCTAAATTTAAGGAAAAAATACTAAAATGACAATAAAAACGACTGGTATTACTGTAGAATGTTTTGGTGTTCAAATTATTATTGCTCCATACTTCAAGTGAAACTTTCTCTTAAATTTAGGGAAAAAATTAGCAAAGTGACAATATTGCATAAAAAATTACTTCAGTTTAGAAAGATTGCTGTTATTGCAGATTGTTTTATTTTGTTTCAGTTATTATTGCTCCATGGCAATAAAGCAGGAAAGAATGTTTCACTAAATTTAGGGATAAAATTACTAAACTGACAACATCGCATGAAAAAAAAACGACTAAAGCTGAAAAGGAGATTGGTCTTATTTTACAGTGTTTCGCTGTTTTGTAAATTTAGTAAAAAGAAAGAATTTTTCCTTAAATTTAGAGATAAAGTTACTAATTTGACAACACCGAATGGAAAAAATCCAGTTGAGAAGGAGGTTGGTCTTACTCTAGGGTGTTTTAGTGCTAAATTAACATGGTTGCATAAAAAGTAGTGAATTTTTCCTGAAACTTAGGGAAAAAAGTATCAAACCGTCATCGCATAAAAATACGACTCCAACTGAAAAAGAGACGAGTCTTCATTTAGAGTGTTTCAGCGTTAAATTACTATTGTTCCATAGCAAAAAAGTAAGTAAGAATTTTTCCCTAAATTTAGGGAAAATTTACTAAACTGACAACATTGCATAAAAAATAAACATAAACAACAATTATCCCTCGAGTCTTAGAATGAACCCAATTCAGTACAAAAATCAGTACCTGGTTGCATATTCTAAAGTCTGTTTCTGCTGATCGGCCAGCTGCTTTTGCTGGTCGCTGATTTGTTTCTGCTGATCCGCGGTTTTCTTTTTGCACGATTTCAGCTCCTGTCTCAGCACTGTCAATTGACTGTTGTAGCGCTTCATTCCTTGTTTGATTTTGCGGATGCGTTTGCGCAGAACCATGTTCGATTGGGGTATTTCTACGAATTCCTGCGGTACCAAAAACGTTACAGAATTACAGTTTTGTTCATATTTAAAAAAGAATAACTTACCTCTCCGTCCAATACGTCGGGGTCGTTGTGATCTACTTTTGACGAATCTGATAAATTTGGCGATTCCAAACCGTATTTACTAGAGCTACTACCTAAAGAGAATTATAAAATATTATGTTAACATTTTATTGATCTTAAAAATATTGATTTTCAAAAAAGTGGTTTAATAAATGACGAAAAAACTTGGCAAAAATTTACAGAAAAGGTGGCTCTAGTTAAAAAAATGTTATGGTGGTTTTGTTTTCAAATGATTATTGTTTCATGGCAAAAAATAAAAAATAATATTTCCCTAAATTTAGAAATACTAAACTGACAACAATGCATTAAAAAAGAATCCACTTGTAAAGGAGATTGGTCTTATTTTAGAGAGCTTTAGTGTTAAATTAGTATTGCTCCATAGCAAAAAGCAAGGAAGAATTTTTCCTTTAAAATTAGTAAAAATTACTAAACTGACAACATCGCATAAAAACTGACTTCCGTTAAAAAAGTTTGGTCTTACTGTAGAGCGATTTGGGAGTCAAATTACTACTGTTCCATAAAAAAATAAGTAAGGAATAATTTGTCTCTAAATTTAAGGAAAAAATTACCATTCTGACAAGATTGCATAAAAATTACTTCAGTTAAGAAAGATTGGTCTTATTTTAGATTATTGTATTGGTTTTTAAATAACGATTGCTACATAGCAAAAAAATATAATTTTTTTCCTTAAATCTAGGGAAAAAATTCAAATTGACCACATCGCATTAACACTGACTTCAATTAAAAGTTAGTTAGTTTGTTAATCTTAAAAATATTAATTTTCGAAACTTCGTGCTTGTAACATAGCGGTTTAAAAAGGCAAATAAACTGGGCAAAATACTTACTGGAAAAGGTGCTGGGAAAATTAAGAAAATCGGCACTGAAGTAGGCGATTTCCGGCAAGTTTGGTTCTATTTTTTCTTTGAAGTATTCCATAGCCATCGTGGACAAGTCGAAAAGTTCGTCCGTTACTTTGTAAGGTAAATCTAGCTTAGATGTGGTCTAGAAAATAAGATCGATATTTTAAATAACGTTACATGATTTTTACATCTCTGAAACAGATCAAAATCAATAAAAATATGAACAAAAAAGTACAGAAATATAGAAAACAATATTATTTATTACTATTATATTTATTTTTATTTAACAGAATGTCTCAGATAATAATCGCAAGCACTGTTTTTTTGCAAAAAATTTAAAATTTTATTATCTATTAAGACATTTTCCGGAAAGTTTTGAAAAACTTTTTAGTTGTTTGATATTTTGTACTTGTTGTTTGACAATTGCATAAAGCTTGATTTACATGCGTCCGTTATCCATTGATACGATGGTCCCACGGCGCTCTGATTGGTCATAGATTAATTTAAAAACTGCACAATTTTCTAACCAATCGAAGTCTTTAAATTCAACCAAAAAAATTAATATTGTATCATCGCATAACGGATGCATGAAAAATCAAACTTAAGTGAGTATAAGGTAAGAGTAAAAGGATTTTTGTAAAAATAGAGCAAATCAATATTTAGTAAATTTTTCTGAATACCCTCGTATATTTTTTAAATTCCTAAGTTTTCTGTTTCAGTGGTGAAATACCTATTAATTCCCCAAAATAAAGGTAGGAAAAATATATAGACACAATTTTCAAGATCTTTATTTCACTAATCCGAGTATATATTCGTACTGTGCTTCAATATGAACCTTTCACTGACCTTGATGTAATGCAAAATCGAGTAGACCTCGTCCAGGATCTCCCCGGGGAAGAAGCACACGTGCTTGCGCTCGATGTGCTTGCCGAACGACATCTGCAAGAGCGTCAAGCGCATGTGCAACGTCTCGATGATGTCGCTCTCGCAGGCCAGGTAGTGACTCCTGCGCGCAGACTCCCTGCGCGGCATCTTGCTCTTGATCTCTTGGAACCGCTGCAGCATCTGGTTTTGAAGCTTCAGGAAGGTGGAGTTCAGTATGAAGCCGCAGATCTGGTCTATACGACGGTTCACCTATTTTTTTTGGTTGGTTGGAAAAAAAGAATATTTTGGTTAGAAAATGAGCTAAAAATTATTTATTTCATAGCAGAAATCACTGAAAGTTTGATTGATAAAGGCACTAAAATTAAAAGTGCAGTTCTAGTTCTGAAAAAGAATGGCAACATCTATGCCTTGCAAATGTAGAACTTTTGCTACAGCAGCGCCATCTTAATTGTTCCCTCTTTGATGACCACTTTCCAATACACGAATATAATTCTCCTTACCTCTAGCACAGATTATACAGATTATAAACTTTGATTTTTCTTTATTGTTTTTCGTGGTTCCAATTTTCGGAATCGGGCACTAGTTAGGTTACTAGTTTGCGCACATAGCACGCCCACATATGGCCTCTAAAATTGTGCACAGCGCCTGACCGGCACAGTTATTAGAGAGATAGCGGAAAACCGAATATCGTCATGCAGTATTTACGCGTGTCAATTTTTAACGCTAACGATATGTCAATTTTTAACGCAACACCCGCTAATAACGTTACCGCCTGACGTAATTTGCGGATCCATTACACCAAGCGCTATTTCTAAATAACGTTTAAAAATTGCTTAAATGAGCATGTGCGGATTTTTGACAACCGGGGTCGGCCGGCGAGATCTTTTATTTTAGGTTATGTTTGAATTGTTTTGAATTATTACTTTAGTTTTATTAGGTAATTTGATATTTGAGTAGCTGGGATTAGTTTTAATTAAATAAATATGGCCCAAAATATGGATTCCACCTCTTCCAATATTAAAGAACCTATAAAGAGGCTTAGGTTTACAGCAGATGACGACTTAGCCCTTCTAAGAGAATTTGTTGCTTGTTGCCCTAAACCCACTGGCCGACGTTGAACAATAAAGCACTGGAAATAAGCACTTTAGCCTTTTAGTTTTAAAACACCTAGTAAACAAAACAATTTCAAAGTTTTAAATTCAAAGTTAGGTTAAGTTTAAATAGCGGACGCGACGCGAACAGAATTCTTTCCGATCCGATAACTATAAATGAAGAGAGTTAATACCAAGTTAACACCACCCCACGTAAAGGAAATAACGCCTGGCCTTATTAACGTCCATGCACGCTATTCGGTTTAGCGATATCTCTCTATTACGCTGTTTATTGTTATTTTACGCGAGTTTATTTTTGCGCACAGGAAATTTTACTCGTTTGCACATCGTTATAAAAAACAATTTTCGTACCACGAATTAGGGATAAGATTTTTTGATCTGTATACATATAGTATACCTAATCTGTGCCTCTAGGCTCGATTTGTTAAACTTAGTCTTAGTTTTTGTATTCATGCATGATAGACGAAGGTAGGGACCTAGGGTGGGGATCCTTGACAGTTCTGTTTGACGATTCATTTGACATATTTGAAATTTTGTGGATTTATCAGTCTTTACTGAGCTTAGGTATTTTATGTTATTTAGTATTTATTCTACAACTGGTAGTTGTTTAGAAGTAGTTATATCTAGAAGGAAATTATGGCAGAACTTAAATTAACAATGACTGCGATTTATAGAAAAAAAAAAGTAAAAAAGTTGGTTGTGTAGCGAGTGGTAGATCTCGGTCAAAAATCGAGGGTAATAATAAAGTCACTTTTCATTAAGTGACTTTATAATATACATACGTGAAGTATACTGATCATTTATGAAATTCACTTAAAATTAAATAATTATATTTTTTTCTCGCATTTTTGCTTCTATTTACTACTTGTCAAAGAATTTAGATACCTCAATTTGACATACCTGCTTCAGTAGCGTATCGGATGTTTGTGTTAATAAATAATTATTGTAACTTATCTCTTTTTATTAGAATTATATGTTTTTATAACAATTTTAATAACTACCAACATTTATTGACAACGTAAAATAAAACAACAAATTATTGAGTCTACCCTGCATCGGATTTTTAATAGTTTTGAACAAAATTAGAACGGCACTGATAAACCGGAATTTAAGTCGGCCATTTTTGGTCCCCATCGCGCTCCGCATGTGTTTTGATATGCTCCTTCCTTCATCTTTTTATTCAAAGAATTTATAAATAAAAAATCTGAATGATGTATCAATCAATACGTTAAAACTCCTCTATGTTTACTTATTTCACTGAGATAAAAAAATGTAGTTAATAAGAAGAAATAAAAATTTTAATAATCAACTGACTATCCTAAATTTAAATAAGAGTTTTGGTATACCTGAAGATTTTTATGTAATTCTTGATTCAAAAAGAACTGAAAACTATTTTTTAAACATTTAAAATGATAAAAATAGTGCTTAACACATTGAAAGCTTATAATGTATGACACGATAGCTTCAAACTTCAGTGATTTTACTAGGCAATAAAATAATACACTTTTTATCCTCTGGTTGACCTTACTGTATCATTTTTCTTATTTGAAATGATACTATAAACTTTTTTTTTAATAAATACCAGCATAATCTATTAGCATATCTCCAAAATACTAAAAACCCACTTACAGAAACACTTTTTATGAAATGATAAATACCTTTTTTCAAAAAAGACTCAAAATAATTAATTTCAAATAAAAAAAAACTTAATACAGAGTGGCCACAGTATAAAAAGTATGTATGTGAATAATTGACGTTCAAAGATGGCGACTTACTAGTCTCAATTTGCATATTTCGTTAAACGACAGATAACTAAAAATCTTCTCTATTACTTCTTGGGGCAGGTCCAAAAATCTTAATGTTGAGGGCGTTTGCGAATTGACCCTGAAATATAAGTCTTATTTTTGCAAAGCAACAATGATTCTATTTGGTTTTAATCTAAAAACATATTCAGTTTTTCTTAAATTAGTTAAAAACGGCTGAGCCAAAATTATTCAAATTTGGCATGTGTATTCAGATTACAGTTGGATTGTGGTTGGAACTTTTGGTGTTACACAGCAAAATAAAACACTAAATCACCACAATACACCAAAAAGCTTTTACTTTTACACTGGACGCGCGTTTCGCTAACGATGTTAGCATCAGCAGATGATCACGACTGATCATAGTCTTGTTCATCACAACAAGGTTAGCGAAACGCGCGTCCAGTGTAAAAGTAAAAGCTTTTTGGTGTATTGTGGTTATTTAGTGTTTATTTTCCATATTTTGATGTGTATTTAGCATACGCAGATCTGTAAAAACCCTATTTACTTGAATTGGCTGTAAATCTAACAGGGTAGCCAATGTTTGGACAGTTCAAAATATGCATGGGATTTCCTATGTCTCCAAACTGGTATACATTTATACCCTCTACCGGGTGTTTCAAAAAAACATGCGCCATAACGCGTGGAGAGATTTCTCAAGTAAGAATAAGATTTATTTCTGATATCAACATAGGAGACCGAAATGAACAAAATATCTAACAGAAAGAACTTTTAATCAGCATTAAAAGGCCTACCCACATGATATCCCATATGCACGTCCCTGGTGAATCTGTCGAACTTTTTTAAAAATATGTCGCACTTATAGTAATTTTTACTCTCAAAATTTCATTTGAATCGCTAAAAGCACTTGGAAGCAAATTACAAATCAAAAAAAAAATGAAGACCTTAACCCCTTGTTTCTACGAAACAAAACAGCATCGGACGAGAGATGGCACGTGTTTTTTGGAACACCCCGTATAAAGTCATATTTTTTAAAAGTATTATTACAGATCAGGATTTTTTTCCTGACTGTATCTATCATTCTGCATAATAAAAAATTGTCAGATTAATCACTGTTGAATTCATCAGAGAGATGTTCATTAAATTTTTTAAGTGAATCTATAAACAAGCGTGGAGGTTTTGTTTTTTAAATGATTAAGTGGATAATAACCGTGTGTTCTCTTTAATAAATTCATAGTTATATAACATTTAGATTCCACAATGACTCCTAATAATTTTTTACCACTAGGGTTCATGGTTTCAAAAAAAAAAAAAATAAAAATGTTTAGAATTCTGTATACAGAGTCCGGCAATAGTGCGTCGGGCTTCTGTAGCTCCTAGAATAAAAAAACTTAATAATTTTGATTAAGCCCAAACATTTTTTTTTTATTTTAACTTCTACAGGGTGGCAAAAAAAAGTGTGAGTGGATCGGGATGATTTTTTTTTAAACTAAATTTTTTTTAATATATATTTTTTTTTATTTATTAAAATCTCTGAAACTATCGAAATATATTGATTCATATCTTAGGATTATGTAAAGCAATCTGAAAGGAAGCCAAAAATGCAATAATATACAGGGTGTTCCGTTTAAAAAAATCATCCCAATCCACTCACGCTTTTTTGAACCACCAGAAGTTAGCGTTGACGAAGTTAAAAGACACACTATTGCCGGACCCTGTACAGGGTGGTCCGAATTGTATTCGGAAAACTTCGGCACCATATTCTACAGATGAAAATAAGTAAAAAAGTTTGTGTAAATTTTTGTCCTATAATGCTTTGTTTCAGAGATACAGGGTGTAGAAGTTTAATTTTTAAGTAGGAGACATATTGAAATGCAAATCAAATTCCTCATGTCAAAAAAACACAATTTTCATCCAAATATTAAATCCTAATTAAAATAGAAATGAATCTTCTACACCCTGTATCTCCAAAACGAAGCTTTGTTGGATATTTATACAAACTTCTTTACTTACTTGTATTTGCAATACAATTCAAACCACCCTGTATTATATCAATGAACAAAAAAATACTTAAAAATAATTCTTATCTGCTTCAGAAAATTTGTACCTCTGTATACTATAGAAACATACATTAAATTTCAAATTATAACACTGTCTTAATGAAAAAAAACTAGGTTATTTTTATAAATAAATTTAATCAAATAAATTCTTTTTTGAAACCTCTAAACAAGCACTTGTATCCTGTCTCACAAATTCAAAGTACCTGCTGATAAAAACCGAAAAAATTCCTACAAATACTCGTCTCACTAACCTGTAGCATTGCACTATGCCCTGCGACGACGAAGAAGTGCTAGGCCCCCCATAATTCGCCATGGCCGTTAGGGTTCATGGTTTCAAAAAAAAAAAAAAAAAATGTTTAGAATTCTGTATACAGGGTTCGGCAATAGTGCGTCGGGCTTCTGTAGCTCCTAGAATAAAAAACTTAATAATTTTGATTAAGCCCAAACATTTTTTTTTATTTTAACTTCTACAGGGTGGCAAAAAAAAGTGTGAGTGGATCGGGATGATTTTTTTTAAACTAAATTTTTTTTAATATATATTTTTTTTTTATTTATTAAAATCTCTGAAACTATCGAAATATATTGATTCATATCTTAGGATTATGTCAAGCAATCTGAAAGGAAGCCAAAAATGCAATAATATACAGGGTGTTCCGTTTAAAAAAATCATCCCAATCCACTGACGCTTTTTTGAACCAATAGAAGTTGGCGTTGACGAAGTTAAAAGACACACTATTGCCGGACCCTGTACAGGGTGGTCCGAATTGTATACGGAAAACTTCGGCACCATACTCTACAGATGAAAATAAGTAAAAAAGTTTGTGTAAACTTTTGTCCTATAATGCTTTGTTTCAGAGATACAGGGTGTAGAAGTTTAATTTTTAAGTAGAAGACATATTGACATGCAAATCAAATTCCCCATGTCAAGAAAACACAATTTTCATCCAAATATTAAATCCTAATTAAAACAGAAATGAATCTTCTACACCCTGTATCTCCAAAACGAAGCTTTGTTGGATATTTATACAAACTTCTTTACTTACTTGTATTTGCAATACAATTCATACCACCCTGTATTATATCAATGAACAAAAAATACTTAAAAATAATTCTTATCTGCTTCAGAAAATTTGTACCTCTGTATACTATAGAAACATAAATTAAATTTCAAATTATAACACTGTCTTAATGAAAAAAAACTAAGTTATTTTTATAAATAAATTTAATCAAAAATAAATTCTTTTTTGAAACCTCTAAACAAGCACTTGTATCCTGTCTCACAAATTCAAAGTACCTGCTGATAAAAACCGAAAAAATTCCTACAAATACTCGTCTCACTAACCTGTAGCATTGCACTATGCCCTGCGACGACGAAGAAGTGCTAGGCCCCCCATAATTCGCCATGGCCGTAACACTGTTCCTAGTAAACTTTGCGGGGCCATAGTTGTTCTCCACGTAGAACTGCTGGACCTCGCTGGGGCCAGCAGCCGTACTCGAAGAAGACTCCCCATTGCTATTGCTGTTGTAAATTGACATTAACCTAGTGGACACCATGTTGCTTCGGACTCTTGATTTGTTCCTACTTAATTTTGAAATTTGTACTGTAAATGGCGAGTAATCTCCTTATTTATTGACACCCCCTGCCAAGACAGAGACAAAATTCAAGTCAATTTTACCTTCTTTGAAAGAGCACTGAATGGTGTGCTTATAATAGTTGAAAATATGCATATCATCAGATATCTAAGTGGTATAATTGTTATTGTTTGAGCTATAATAAATAAAAAACAGAACCTACTTCTGAAAGATAATAGAAACATGTTAATAAGAGGTTTATAATACTATAAAATTTAGATTAGGAATAGGTAATAGAATAATTTAACATTCCCCAAAGAAATTTGATCATTATGGTTTAAGGTATTTTCATATTGAATTAAAGAAAAAAAAAGAAAGAAGAGAGATCATTTCCTTTGTGTACCTGCTACTAAATATCAATAAAAATAATTTAATGTCAATATTTATACACACCTACAAGGTTTATAAAACTATAAACTCACATTAAAGTACATTGAAAGCAAAATTTAACAATCCCCAAACAAAATTGACCATAAAAGTTTATGTTATTCTCAGATTTAAATATTGTACAATAAAACTGTAATAAAAACAACTATATTGATCCCCACATTCTCGCCCGTAAATAAAATATTTAAAAAAGTGACGAAATACCGAATGCAACGAGTGAGAATTATAAAATCGTCAGCCAAACTAGTCAAATTTTTAACTGAAAAGGATTCTTTCCCAGTAAAAAATGGCTGTATCCTGAATTAATAAACTTGCATGTTTCAATTTCCAAAGTACTTATGCGCTTGAATTAGCTCTAGAACTTAGACACAAGTACCCGAAAAATCATAGATGATTGTAGTTATCCAGCCAAGATCGCTTAGAAAGGCAGATACTGGCCAAAGCCATTTACCAAATTCAAACCATATTTTTAGGTTGAATCCTGGCAAAATCCGTTGAAAAATATTTTTTTCTGAACCGAAAATATAATGAAAAAGACACAGGAAAAGTTTCACACTTACCAGTTGCTTAATTTGATGTAAACTTTTTAAAACGGATAGCTATTACATTTTGTCAATCATTCTATTCCCTGATTGTGCTCAGTTTCATAAACCTTGCACCGTAATATTTTTGGATAGATTTCCGGCGATACCGATAAAATTTCGAGATGGATCTTGAACTGAGGGATTGAGAAACGGTTTGAAATTATAATTACGCGAATAGAGTACGGTTTTAGGAAAGTTTTCCCGAAAAAACTACGAAGAAACCCAGAACTTTGTCATTGCAAGAACCCACTGTTGGACCAAGACAAAGGCTGTGTTGCCGCTTCGTCGATAGTTTGGTATTGAAAATCTGGGCTTGATATTTTTCCGTTTTGCTGACAAAGAAAGTCATATTTTTAAAGCAAAAAAATTTAATAATTCGTAAAGGGTTCTCTAATTGTTAACTTACATGTATTACTGACGATCTCAATTTTATGTAAATGTACTAAAAATAAGCAATAAACCATAAACTTTAACACAAACTAATATTAATAATAATATAAAGCTTTCAAAGATCACTTCGAAAACACAGTTTAAATTATTTTGTTTCTTTATATACCCTGGTTAATTCCTTACAAATAGAAAAATATATCTTCATATTTTTAATAAATAAATAAAAATTTAATTTATAATAATGAGATATCTACTACTTTTAAAAACTACTGGCAACCTCGCTTGACAATTTATTTTGTCCTCATATCGCACATGCGTAAAAACAAACACGATATGCGCGCTAAGAGAAAAAACTTGAAACCGAATTGTTTTTGGAAAGGATCTAATTTTTTAAATTATATTTTATTAACTCTATATTAATAAATATTTTAAATAAAACACAACTAAATATAGCCCCGCACGTTCCCAAACTTTCAATTAAAGAAGTATATTTCTCTAAAATTACACAACTAAATGAATGAATAATAATGAAAAATAAACTATTGCAAAATAAAACAAATTACAATATCAATTTTAATAATTATTTTATTAATTTTTAAACAATAAACATTTTATATAAAGTTCACTACATTTTAATTATAGAGTACATCTACTGCATAAAAGATGTCGCCACCTGTACAAATTTTGAATACTTGTCAAAATTGTTAAAATTATTTGTGGTTATGTTACACTAAGAGTAGGTTATTAAATTACGGCAATAAAAGGCGTCTTATTTAACAAAAAATAACACAAAAAGGTAGATTTTGATGTTAGTTTAATAACTAAAAATGTCGTTCTCGTTTGGGAGTACCGGTTTTGGCAGCACCGCCCCAAAAGGTAAGTGTAAACAACATTGTTATGAATAGCATTAAACAGGATAAAACTAAATTATTTTCTATTATTACGGTATATTTTTCAGTTTCTTTGATTTATCTTGTAGTTCGTTATTTTTGAAGTTATTCTTCCCTTGGGAAACGTTATATTTACCATTGGAATTCTTCAACTTCTTCAGGGCTCTGCTTTTATGTATAACTGTACCTGTTAAACATATTACGGAAAGGACAATGAGCACTACAGCAGCAATAATATACGCGTTGAAAAAGCCTGTTTCTTTTTTATTCTTGGACATCTGTTCAGTAGCATTGAACACAGCTTTTGTAATGTTATTCTGAACAGTTCTCATTGTAGTGATTGGTGTAGTTGCCATTGGAATCAGAGGTTTTTTAGGACCATCGGCAACGTTAGCATCACTATTAAACGTGTTTATTATTTGAGATATCTGTTTACTAGCATTGAACACAGCTTTTGTAATGTTAGTCTGAACAGTTCGCATTGTAGTGATTGGTGTAGTAGCCATAGGAATCAGAGGTTTTTTAGGACCATCGGCAAAGTTAGCATCACTATTAAACGTGTTTATTATCTGAGATATTATTTTGTTAACTTCCTCTGCCGGTTGAATCGGTATTATATCTCCAACACTACTATTTCTCTTCATCTGTTGTGTAAAAGCCTTTGCAGTGATCTCGAATGTTATTGGACTTAATTTCTGAGGCGCAAAAGTACTTTCAGTAGATTCCTAAAAAAAAATTAAGAACATTTAAGGTAGTTACTCACTACGTACCATCTCTTTACCATCTTTGGAATAAAGAATTCTTTGATTTTATTGGTCATGTCGACTATAAAATCCATGTTGTATGTGTTTTGAACCTTGAGTACAAAAAAAAAATACGATTTTGGTATGGCAAGTATGGTGTTATCAAGTTTTTTGGCGATTTTTTTAGCATAATTTATTTTCAAGGTGTATTTTAAATTGCACTTTTTTAAATGCTTGTGAGTCAGTGATAACAGGTAAAAATAAATGTATTTTAATTAGTTTTGTGTAAATTACAGTGTGGTACAGTCATTAATGTAATAATTATTTTTTTTAATTTCAGTATATATACAAACAAGGATAATAGTCTGATAATAGTTTGTAAAATAATGAATATATTATTTTTTTCTATTCAAGATTTTTTATGATCTTCTAGACAATCACATCATCATCATTTTCAGCTTATTCAACCATTTCCAATTATGGTGTAGCCTTTCTCACATATTTAGATACACTCTTTGTAGTTGGGTCCATTCTTGTCTATTGTTAACCCAAGTTATCCCTGCTAATTTCGTAATATCATGGTCCCATCTAGTGATGTTGGTAGCGAATATTTCCATTCGAATTTTGCAGGAAATTTCAGAAATTTCCGAAATATTCGGTCCCAAAATCGCGAATATTCGCAAAAATCCGAATTTTGTAAGAAATTTGGTTTACTAAAAATTTAACGAAAGTGTATCAAGTATGCCTATTCTTAAATCAGAAGACAAAGAATGCTTCTCCGCCTTACAAAATAACATACTAATAATACATTTTGCCGCGAATTTCTTGAACCCCGCTGTTTCCTGGAAGAGCACCTTAACAATGAAGAACACATAGCCGCTAGGGAATTTATCAACAATATCACCAACAAACATCCTCATTTTGTCAATAATAAAGAAGCCATTTTTAGTGATGTAACAAATTATTGATGTTGTGCCCTGTATATGCCCAAAATAAATTCGGAATGAAAATTTCTGATGTAGCATCCGTTAAGAAGGAATTAATTTACAATTTAAAAAAAATCATCAAAATCTAATGAGTGGTTCGCGAGAAATCCAATTTTGAAATTGGGACTAGTTTTTGGTGGCCGGTTTTTTTGCCGGTGAGTTTATTTTCAATCTTTTGTCGGCTTAGTCTGTAAACAGCTCTAGGGATATCGCATTTAAATAAATAATCTTTAGTTCCAGGATTTGGTACCACTTTTGGTTCACCAGCAACCACGACCCAATCTACAGCTTTTGGATTCGGCCAGACCCAACCTGCTCCCGCTTTTGGCTCTACTTTTGGCGCACCCACCACCAGCGCTCCGCCAGCCTTCGGTAGTACTTTCGGTGCCCCCGCCGCTAGCGCTACCCCTGCTTTCGGCAGTACTTTCGGAGCACCGGCTACGAACGCGCCATCTTTCGGGTTTGGTAGCGCACCAACGCAAAGTACAGGTTGGTAGACTTCATTTACGGGGTTTTTATCAGAGATATAGAGGTAGCACATATACATTAGACTGTTATATTGAAATTGTTAACGAAAAAAATACTGTGAAAGTTTGAGCTCTATATATACCTCTATATCTCCTGGTCTTTATAGTTAAACATGCCATTCTTTTTGTGCTAATTTGGTTTTAAGGTTTATTTGGGACTGCAACCACAAAACCTAGTATTTTTGGAGCTCCAGCCACTTCCACTACAGGGTTATTTGGTAGCGCTCCTACAACGACTCCTAGCTTGTTTGGTGGGGTACAAACATCACAGAGTACCCCCAGTTTATTTGGTAAGAACGAATTTTTACACCATTTTTACATCAAATTATTAAAAATAATATTGTTTGTTGTACATTTTATTGCGTTTTTTTACTACACTTAATTTTTCTTGTAACATCTACATCTGTTTTTACTACTTTGGTCGGGTAGCATTCATAGAATGCTCTTGTAAATGCGGCGTTACCAATAACGCAAAAATTTCCAATTTTAAGGTATTTTTGTAACTTACACTAGGTGCAGGAGCTGCGCAACCTTCATTATTCGGTCAACAACCCACTACAACCACTCCAAGTCTTTTCGGTACTTCTTTTGGCCAGCAAACCACCACAGCCGCTCCTTTTGGTAGTACAGGCTTATTTGGAACAGCCCAAAGTACCGCCCCGTCGCTTTTTGGTGCTTCGACGTTTGGAACTACCACTACAAGCACCGCGGGATTTGGTGGTTTCGGTACTGGAACTACCGGCAGTTTTGGAGGATTCGGAATAAGCAGTACTGGAACGGGGTTGTTTGGAGCCAAACCACCACAAGCAGCAGGTAAGAATTTGTAATTTGGATTTTTTCAAGGCTGGTACCGTCGAGAATAAAAGGCCGGACGACTTAACGAGTGACGTCATTGAAAGGAGGCGATAGGCGTAACTCTTAATAATTACACACTTTATTCATTTCATACTTTACTGATTTTTTAGGGATAGTTATCAATGGAATTTAAAAAAAATCCCTTAGATTGGTATCTCACCGTAAAATAGCCATGATATGAATTACATATTATCTCAAAAGTTACATACATAAAAAAAAATAAAATCAAAAACTACTTTGTAACAAATTCCGTTATTCCAGTTTTTTATTGATTTATCTGAATAATTTGCTGTGAATATGCCTCTATTTCCAGAGATGCGCATAAAATACCATCTTTTGTATTGCTTCTAAAACAGTACATTTTTGTGACATTCTCCCTCCCATAATCTTACGTGAGATTTTTCAAATTTTGTAGTTTGAGTATAAATGCACATTTTTATACCGTTCTTTGCCCGACAAAAATTCTTTTGTCCGAAAAACGTCTTCCTTGGATGACGTATCAAATATTCCACGTCACCTTACGGTATGTGTGACCGCAGATTAGGTATCCTATAAGTATACAGATAAAAATCTTGTTCCTAATTCGTGGTACGAAAATTGTTTTATATGTGCAAACGAGTCAAATTTCCTGTGCGCAAAAATAAACTCGCGTAAAATAACAATAAACAGCGTAATAGAGAGATATCGCTAAACCGAATAGCGGGCATGGACGTTAATTAGGCCAGGTGTTATTTCCTTTACGTGAGGTGGTATTAACTTGGTATTAACTCTCTTCATTTATAGTTATCGGATCGGAAAGAATTCTGTTCGCGTCGCGTCCGCTATTTAAACTTAACCTAACTTTGAATTTAAAACTTTGAAATTGTTTTGTTTACTAGGTACTTTAAAACTAAAGGGCTAAAGTGCTTATTTCCAGTGCTTTATTGTTCAACGTCTGCCAGTGGGTTTAGGGCAACAAGCAACAAATTCTCTTAGAAGGGCTAAGTCGTCATCTGCTCTAAACCTAAGCCTCTTTATAGGTTCTTTAATATTGGAAGAGGTGGAATCCATATTTTGAGCCATATTTATTTAATTAAAACTAATCCCAGCTACTCAAATATCAAATTTTCTAATAAAAACTAAAGTAATAATTCAAAACAATTCAAACATAACCTAAAATAAAAGATCTCGCCGGCCGGCCCCGGTTGTCAAATACCCCCACATGCCCATTTAAGCAATTTTTAAACGTTATTTAGAAATAGCGCGTGGTGTAATTGATCCGCAAATTACGTCAGGCGGTAACGTCATTAGCGGGTGTTGCGTTAAAAATTGACTCGCGCATATCGGAACCATGATAAGGTACGCGTAAATACTGCATGACGCTATTCCGTTTTCCGATATCTCTCTAATAACTGTGCCGGTCAGGCGCTGTGCACAATTTTACAGGCCATAAGTGGGCGTGCTATGTGCGCAAACTAGTAACCTAACTAGTGCCCGATTCCGAAAATTGGAACCACGAAAAACAATAAAGAAAAAACAAAGTTTATAATCTGTATAATCTGTGGTGTATTCTCTCTCGACGGTAACGACATAGGAGTACATCAAAGCGAGATTTTGATTGTGAGAAAATAATAAATCTTCTCCATTCTAGTTCCACAGCCTACTCCACAAACTCCCCAAAGCAAAAACCAACAAGTCGTAGCTTCTGTATACGCCATCAACGTTTTTAACGACGAACGGGACGACATTTTGAAAAAATGGAACATGCTTCAAGCCTGTTGGGGTACAGGCAAGGGCTACTATAGTTCCACTCAGCCTCCTGTAGATTACACGCCTCAAAATCCCTTTTATAGGTTTAAAGCTATGGGGTACAACGTCATACCGGAGCAGGATAATTCTGAAGGAATTGTGAAGTTGGTGTTCAGTAAGAAAGTGGATGAATTAAAGTAAGTTTATGAGAATAAGAAAAAAAAACGTTTTATAGGATAGGTATATTATACAGGGTGTGAAGTATTGAAAAAACTGCATTGAATGAAAATACTAAAGCTTCATTCGTTTAAAATGGCCGACTTAAATTCCGATTTATCAGTGCCGTTCTAATTTTATTCAAAACGTGTAAAAATATGATATAGGGTAGGCGTGGGATAGACTCAATAGTTTGTTGTTTTATTTTACATTGTCAATAAGTTATAATTATTTATTAACACACAAACATCCGATACGCTACTGAAGCAGGTAAGTCAAATTGACGTATCTAAATTCGTTTACATCTAATCTTTGACAAGTATTAAATAAAAGCAAAAATGCAAGAAAAAATATATAATTAGTTAATTTTAAGTGAATTTTATAACAACTATTAGTAGTAGAATAAATAATAAATAAGATAAAATAAGCTCGGTAAAGGCTGACAAATCCACAACATTTCAAATCAAATTCAAATGTGTCAAATGAATCGTCAAACAGAACTGTCAAGGATTCCAACCCTAGGGCCCTTTGTCCGTCTACTTTGTATGAATACATGGATAGCATTATACTCTTTCCTTCATCTTATTCAAAGGTTTTATTCGATAATTATTAATATCGTGAAATGTAATAATTGCACTAATACATAATTGTAGAATAATGTACCGTATGATCGAAAAAAAACCGCGTCCAGTTGAAAAAATAAAATGACAGCGATCTTCATTTCATAGCTCTCGCTGACGCCGTTTTTTTATCATATCTTATTTTGTTTTATTTTTTTATAGAAACCAACAAGAAGTTCTAAAGAATGGCATAGGAGGTATTTTAGGAAACAGACCAAATTTGACTGTTGATATACTTATGGTGAAAGCTATTTCTGAATCCCAAACTGAGGTAATTTAATACTGAATACCCAAATGTTCAAAAAAAAATTATTTTTTTATTTTTTTTCTAGGTTAAAATATGCGTATCAGAAAAAGGAGTGACGGGCACTAGTAGAAAAATACCCGCCACTGATTTGGCAACGTTTTTGAACCAGCCCAATCAGAAACAACAGCTGATGAACGTCGGCGTGACAGGTGTCACTCCATTTGTCACTCCCAGTAGGGCGGAGTTGGAGGAATATCTCAAAAACCCACCTGCAGGTAATTATTGAAATTGATAAGTTACTTTTTCTTAATCTTAATTTTTTAATGTTCTATATTTTAGTTAATTTTTTGTTTTACTTTATCAAAACAGGTTGTGATATTTTCTAAGAAACTTAAATTGCTTTGCATTAGTAACAATTATGCAAATTTAAAGTTATATGACAGAAAAATCATGAATTACAAGCCATATCTGTGACTATTTCGCGTAGTAGTTCAAATGAACCAACAACTCTAGCGTTTAATTTATATAAAATTGATTTTATGGAAAGCACCGTTCATTAAAATGTTGTATCCTATGTTATAGGACTTGTGTCTCTCTACAATTTCCTGTCTCACAATGTACCGTTTGTGTCCGGGAAGGGTTCATAGTTTCATAGTTGTCGATTTTCGAAAGAAATCAGTACATGTATATTATTTCGTATATTTTTCATTTTATTGATTTTATGGAAAGCACTGTTCATTAAAATGTTGTATCCTATGTTATAGGGCTTGTTTCTCTCTACAATTTCCTGTTTCACAATGTACCGTTTGTGTCCGGGAAGGGTTCATAGTTTCATAGTTGTCGATTTCCGAAAGAAATTAGTACATGTATATTATTTCATATATTATTCATTTTATTGATTTCATGGAAAGCACTGTTCATTAAAATGTTGTATCCTATGTTATAGGGCTTGTTTCTCTCTACAATTTCCTGTCTCACAATATACCGTTTGTGTCCAGGAAGGGCATAGTTTCATAGTTGTCGATTTTCGAAAGAAATCAGTACATGTATATTATTTCGTATATTTTTCATTTTATTGATTTTATGGAATGGAAAGCACTGTTCATTAAAATGTTGTATCCTATGTTATAGGGCTTGTTTCTCTCTACAATTTCCTGTCTCATAATGTACCGTTTGTGTCCGGGAACGGTTCATAGTTTCATAGTCGTCGATTTCCGAAAGAAATCAGTACATGTATATTATTTCGTATATTTTTCATTTTATTGATTTTATGGAAAGCACTGTTCATTAAAATGTTATAGGGCTGGTTTGTCTTTACAATTTCCTGTTTCACAATGTACCGTTTGTGTCCGGGGTTCATAGTTATGTTGTGTCAATGAAAAACAGGTTGTAATATTAAAAAAAAATTTTTTTTGCAGGCATTGACCAACAAATGTGGCAAGCAGCGGTCCAAGACAACCCCAACCCCAAAAAATACATCCCCGTACCCATCAACGGATTCTCAGACCTTCGAGCTCGCATGTTGAATCAGGAGTACCAAACGGGTCTTCACTCTTCATTCCTCGAACGAGTGAACAAAGACATCACTCAACTGAAGACCAGACATTCCGCTTCGATAGCACAGATCAGCGAACTTAAACAGAAGTTTCTGGAGTTGCAACATAGGATTCTGAGGGTACTCGTGAAGCAGGAAAGTACCAGGAAGGTGGGAATAGCCATCCAGCCTGAAGAGGAGATACTGAGGGGTAGATTGGAGGTGATGCATGTTCAGCTTAATATTCCCAAACAGTTTAAGGTAAGGAGAATGTTTTTGAGTTTTTTGTTATACGAGTATGTGTTAAAATCGACTTTTTTTCACTTTATTCTCTGAAAAAAAGGTTGGTAGACACCTCAAAAAAATTCTCTCCAAGTATGAGAGCACTTAATTTTAGTAGGAAGGTACCCTGCTTTTCACTTTCCTATTTTTTCCTTATTGTTAGAAAGAAAAATTCGGTATCTGCTATTTGGAAAAAATGTCTCGTCTCATATACAGGGTGAGTTTCCTACGATGTTCTCTATGGGCATCTCGGAAACTATTGGAGATAGAGAGTCGGTTAAATGGGGAAAGAATTGCAGTTTTGTGGGGTCATAAATATGCGCCTTTCAAATTTTTGAAAAAGTTCATGGCTTACTAGATATTTCGAAAAAATCAAATTTTGGCTATTTTAAAAATTGTCCCTAATTCCATTATAATCTATTTTAGAGAAAAAGTGTTCAGATAAAAGTTGTAGATAATCACATTCCTAAGGAGTTTGAGTTCTCCGATTTTTTCTAAAGCCTGTCATTTTTGACTTATGACACAAACATATGTTTTTTTAATGGAAACCATAGTTGGCCATGACTTCATAAAAAGCGCCATTTTTTAAGCTTTTTAGCGATATAAGCTATAATATGTTTCTTTCACAAAATTACTGACTTATAGCCAATTTTTATCTTTCTGGACTAATTTCACTTAGTTAGCCATGGAAACAAGTTCAATCGTCGTTGCTCTCAGAAATGTGAAATTGTCACATCCAATCTTTGTAAATTAAAATAAACAAAAATTGTAAATAAAAATTTTTAAATGAAGATGAGCGTGTAGGATTATTGGTTCAACTTTTCTTGGCCATACAGTTTCGAGGATACGTTGTCAAATTTTATAAGAAATCAGAGATTTTTTAAACGAGGTTTATTTTTTTGGGATGCTGTATAATTTTTCAATCGAGAAACTTGAGATTTATTGAGCAGCTGTTTGGGTATTAGCCAAAAAACCTCGCGCGTTATCGATTGCACGCAACTTAAATCGCTTTGCATTAGGCGTAATTGTGCAAATTCAAAGTTATATGACAGATAAAACGTAAATTACGAGCCACGTTTGTGAATAATCCGCGTAGTAGTTCAAATGAACCAACAGCTATTACTAGCGTTTGATTTATTAAAAAAAATCAGTTCTTGCGTTTAATTTAATATTTTAAACGTATCTAACGTCTAATAGAAATTAATTTAGCGGTATTCCAGAAATTATTATAATCTTTCAAGTTTGTTAATGCAGTAATTATATACAGGGTGTCACGGAAAGGTTTGTATAGAATTCTACTACAAATTTTAGAGGTGAAGATAGATAGTAGCTGTGTCCAAATAATTATTACAGTTTTATGACCCACGCATAGTGATGTAAAATTTCCAGAAATATATTTTCCGAAATATTTCCTGAAACATTGGAAATATATGAAATATTTTAAAAAATAAGAAAAACTGAAATATTTTTATTTATAAAAATCATAACAAAACATCGCAAAACACAAAATGCTTATACATAAACACAAATAAAGAGTTATTCTTCAAATTAAAAAATAAATTAAGGTTAAATTTGTCCAAAAAAAAATATTTTTGACACACTAGTCGAGCAAGAGGCATATCTTTATCGCTGTCATCAGCATCACACTCAATAACATCTTCTTGCCAGTCTACTTCCTCAAAATCTTCAATAGTATCGGAAATAAAAATTGATCTATTGCCGTTTCCTATTTTCTTCAGCAAGTTTTCATTGTGGGATACATAGAGTAGCTTAGCGGCTCTATCATTAGTAAGTCTGTTTCTCTTTTTTAAACTGCGTTCCGTAGCAGCCGAAGATTCTGGCATCATCAACATTCGTGAAGCTACTTGTGATAATGAAGATGAAGAACACAGTCCTTTTCACCGGGAGACTGGGTTATCAAAACTACTTTTCCATATGAAGTTATTTCCAAATAACTTGCCACTTCTACAACGGTAATCTGCTATTTTATCTATTATTTCTTGCCCCTTTATATTGAGTTTATTTTTTGAAATATATTAAGTATGCATTCTATGGCAGAAAGAATTTGGGTTTCATCAAGTTCAGAACCTTGTGATTTTGGATTTAGTAATTCTGCAGCATAACGAATGGGTTTAATAGCAAATTTTTCTCTTTTGTACAACAAACTCCAACAATTCGGATTTTTTTTTGTCGTCAAGTGAGGACAATGCAAGATTATTCTGAATTACCCTTCTAATATCACAAAATGCTTTTACAGCAAAATGAATAGTGCTATAATCTCCTTCTACAATTTTTAACCATTTGCCAATAGGTTCAAAAATGTTAATTACGTTGGAAATTTGGGCCCAAAATACTTCGTCATCTAATATCCACTGCTTAACATTTTTATCAATCATTTGTGTTGCTTCTTGACTAACTGCAACTCCTTGTAAACTGAGCCTAGTATTTTATACACTTTTTAAATTGGTCAAAATTGAAGACCAGCGAGTTTTTACTACGTTATGACTTACGAGCTCGGGACTTTCACGTAGAAATGCGAGGTTGCAAATAAGTTGGTGAATCCTCAAACTCGATATATTCACCATATTATATGTTTGTAAAACTGTTCTATTAGTAAGTTTAATGTTTATAGGGTTACAAAATATGAAAGATATATTAATAAACATCGGGTTTGAATCGTTAATGACAAGATTTAAGTGTTTTTAAAAATATTTCCAATATTTCCGAGACACGTTTGGAAATTTCCAATATTTTCATTTACAACACTAACCACGCAATTAGAGTGTCTATTTAATATACAGGGTGATTCATACTATATTCTATGAAACTATTTATACTGATATGAAATTTTGATTCAAAAATACGTTACTGTCATTATAAAAAAAAAGATTATATTAATTCTGTGGTCAAATGAATTTGTAAATAAACAAACACTTTGTTTCCATAGTGCTTGTATATGTCGGGTCGAAACAAACCAATGTATAAGGTTAATCTGTGTATTAAACATGCCCGTGAATATTAGTAGTGTTATGTTTCATTAATGTTTAATATATTATTTTATGAAACCAGTAGGGATATTAACTAAAATTAATGTATAAAAAAACTATTAATACACAGTGTAATAGTACCCGAAAATCCATTAAATACAAAATAAAAACATTATGACCTGTGGTTTATTAGTATAGCCATTTTATTATTTAGTAGTAATCGAAGGTTATTTATTAATATTCTGAAAATATCTTTTGATATAAAATATTAGACACAAAAAAGATCTTAAAAGTCTCGTGTTTTTGTATCTCTTGAGGGCTTTATTTGTTACAGACACAGCAGTTTTATGTTATTGATAAACATGGATTATATTTTTTGTAATTGTCACATTTTTAATTGAAATTAGAGTACCAAATCATTTTGTTAAAATTCTAACAACATAATTAACAATAACTTATTCATTATGGCGTAACATTCCACGTGACTGATAAAAAACGACGTCACGATAGGCGTAGATGCGTTATTTCAGTTCCAGCTTTACTGTGCCCTTACCTGGTTGTGATTCATTTGATATCTTTCATTTGTCCTTTACGTCTGGTTTATATATCTTGGGTACCTTCTTTTCTCTGTTTATATCATTTGTCTGGGCTAATACATGCATACAAGGTGGTAAAATCTTCTAAAATTTTTTTTTTAGTTTGGTTATGTCGCTATTTTTACGCGAGGATCTCCCCACGAGAGATGGCACATATTTCTTGAAACATCCTGTATATGATTTTTTTTCTTAGAATACGTCCAAGAATCACCATCTTTTACATTAATATTATCATATCCTTAAGGAACATCCTGTATATGATACTGGATTTTTTACCTACTTCAGCTAACTTCTTTCGCTCATTTCTGATATACATATCATAGATATGTACAGTCATATGATCGAAAAAATTGATCAAGTGCGAGTCGGACTTGCGCACGAAGGGTTCCGTACCATTCATTATCTATACAACATTAGACACTATATTATTATAAGCTTTTTCCCGATTTAGCTGAAATTTTGAATGCGCGTATAAACAATTTAAAAAAAAATGAAGAAACACATTACTAAAAATTGTATTAATCTATAATAAATATGTAAAAATTAAAAAAAAACGATTAAAAAAAAGTCGCCTTGACTAGGATTCGAACCTGCCTTACTACGGCTCCAACGTCATAGCAGCGTAAAGTCCTGACGCTTTAACCACGCGGACTTGAAAGATTCTATGTAAAATTCTTACTTAAAAGATAATATTTAGTGAAAGTACTTTTTTATTTATAAACATTTATTTAATTCTGTTTTTAGTATTTGTTCTTATAGCGGCCACATAGATACATTTTCAGTAAAAATATCAACTGTCTAGCTATAACTGTTCATAAGATAGACCCTTGTGACAGACGGACGGACGGACAGCGGAGTCTTAGTAATAGGGTTCCCGTTTTTACCCTTTGGGTACGGAACCCTAAAAATACGAAAAAATTCTGTTTTTTTTTCAGGGTCAAATCAACGAACTACTATCCCACGTCAAGATGATCGAAAACTCGCAAAAACAGACCGAAGCCAATTACAGAATCGATGCAGATGCTCAGGACGAAATCAAACAATTCCTGAAGATGGAGCAACACGGAATCACGCAGCTGATCAACATCATCAACAACGACATGAAGAGTTTGAAAATTATAACCGACGGACTGAAACAACTGTCCGAAAGACGCCATTTTTAAGCCGCCATCTTGTATTTTAGGTTATTTAAGGATTATGTATTTTGTATTTCTTTTAACGTAAATAAAGTATTTTTATTTTGTGGCTTTTTGTTTTATTTATTTTTCTACCAGAATTGGAATTAAAAAAAGAAAAAAAAAATACATACATCTCTTGGGTGCCGATTTTTGTGTCTGTCTATTATAGTGGACAGCAAACTACTGAAAAGAGGAATGGGAATTAGATACAGATACGATGGCGGTCTGTTCCACATAAAAAGATTTAAAACACTGAACTGCAATACGCTGATGACTGCGCTATAGTTGCAAAAACGTTACAGCAATTACAAGAACTGCTGAACACATATACCTGGGCATACGAGGCTTTGGGTCATAAGCTGAACATCAATAAAACTAAAATCATGTGCAGTCCCCCGGAAAATCACAACAATGCTATAAAAATCGAAGAAGAACTATTGGAATATGTAGCGGAATTGAATTATCTCGGCAGTTTGATTTCGGAAAAGCCCAATATCGACTCTGAAATTCAGCACATGGAGAAGAATCGTAAACTCAGTTAACAACGACAGAGGCATAAAGAGGCAACAAATTAATGAGATTTTTGAATGTCCGGAGTGCGGAAGAGAGATAACATCACGTATCGGGCTTTTCAGTCACAGAAAAGCTCATGAAACCATCTTCTGATGCGTGTCAAATACTCCTCAGCGAGTAATGGCAGGAAGTATTAAATATCTCTGGTTTTTATTTAATATTTTGAATGTTTTTTTTTCAGTTTAAAATGGTAATTAAGAAAAACAACATTGCTTAACAATATCTGTCTTAAACTTTATTAAATACAAATATAATAAATATATAATTTTATAGCATTATCACATACTTTTATTACTGTCTGGTATACATAACGATACAAACAAACAAAAACACTCATTAATACTGAATAATAAAAATAGAAAACACAGTCTTGCAATCAAAAAAAAAAAAATAACACGTAATCATATCAGACATTTCTTCTCAAACTTAGATCTAGAGGAGTATCCAACTCCATTGGTATACTTTCAGTGCCAATTTCATACGGTCTATACAGTTTTTTTCTGTCATAAGTGTCAACAAACCCGTAACTGTCACTTTTAATGTCAATAAAGGCACCCAGCCTGAAGATGTCCTCTGTATGACCTTGAGCACGAGCCTCACAGTTGATGTTGTTGACAGTTATGACAGGAACGTGGTTTTCTATTGTTTCTTGCACGAATTCCACACGATTTTCAATTGTTTCTGGTGATTTGGGCACGGCTACTTGATGGCTGGCCTCAGAACTGTCACTGACGAAATGCTTGTAGGTCTTGACATGTTTCCTTAGGCTGCTCGGGTCGGTGTACCGTTTTTGGCACCCTGGGACCTTGCATTGGTACGGTTTTTCGACCGAGTGGGTTCTGGTATGCTTGAAACGATCGCTGGAGTTGGAGTAGGCTTTGTTGCAGCCTGGAACGGGACAGGCGTAGGGTTTTTCCCCGCTGTGGGACCTTGAATGAATTTTTAGGTTTTCTGCTCTGGAGAAGGATTTTTCGCATTGGTAACATTTGTGGGGTTTTTCGTTTGTGTGAGTGCGGACATGGACTAACATCTTGTATCTGAAAGAAGAGGAGAAATTCATTAATTTTAAAGGATTATATTATACAGGGTGAGGGTGATTCACGATTAGATGTTTAATGAGAATGGACTGTAGGATTATTTTGAAAATTTGGATTCTTACTTATTCTCTTCAGCATTACAGTATTGCCACTTCATTTAAAAAGTATTTTAAATCGAACACTGTAATTATGATATTTTTGAAATATATTTTTTTTATTTCTCATTAATTTTGGATGATACATTCCTATATCTATCTCTAATAGTTTTCGAGATAAAAATAAAAGTAATATTGATAAAAACATGCTTTTGAGTAAGCATTGGTAAAATCGTGATCTCAGTTTATTGGAAAGTCAATATGTATATTCGATCTGTCTAAAGAAACCGATTAAATATCATACAGGGAGCTAAAAACATATGTTTATGACGATTTATTCTAAAATTGTTTAAATATTCGTTTTTCTTCAAGCCAAAGTAATTTTTTTAAATATACGAGGGGTTGAAATAGGTTTAGTTAGCTACCTAGCATTGAATCCTTTGTTGTTCCTCGTACATCCGTCCCATCCACAGAAGAATAAGCCTCCCGGTCCGCTGGACGAATGACAGTTTCCCACGTGACTGGCCAACTCATTCAACGACGTGAAAATTATTCCACAGTTTTGCCAAAGGCACTGTCTTTTTTCATCTTTTTTCGGTATCTCTATGGACTGCGACGGCACTTCGATGCTAGACACCGAATTATCACTGTCACTCTGTAAATAAAACATAAATATATACAGGGTGTCCCAGAAAATTGACATGTAATAAAAGAAAGTCAAAATAAATTTCATATTTAATCTTTTTCACTTTATACGCCACTGAAAATTATATTAAATCACTCCCATCTACTTGACCTTGAGTAAAACATTTAAAATAACTTTTTATCTCACTGTAAAGTCCCCGAATATGAAAAGAAAAGTTTTTTTGGCTCACCTGGGTGCTATTGCTAGGTGAAATTGTCATGGGGTACTCTTCATGGTGCTCCATAGGCGTAGAATAGTTTTCAAATTGCTTAAAGTATGAAAATCCTGGATTTAATGGAGGAGAACTGTCGTAGCCCTGGTAGTACTGGAGAGGTTGTCCCACTACCATTCTGTTATAAGTTGACAACATAATTATTTTTATTTTTTATATATTAAAAATACTTTTATAAGTAATATATGAGTAAATTAAACAAAGTAATGGAAAAAACTAGTGTGCTGAGGCAATTGTTTAAACAATATAATGTAAACTGGCCGGTGGGATGTCGACAAATGAAGCGCTATGTCCAAAATCCGGTATATTTGAAGGAAACTGGTTATGTGTATTTAAAAGATGGTTTTAGCTTTTAATTATATCGTGACTGATAACGATTTGTTTGAATTGGCAGGATCGTACTTGGTACTTGCCCGTGAAACAAGAGGATCAGATATATTAAATTTTCTCCAAAAAAATCTTATATGGGTATTTCGCCACTACAAGAAAATCTACAAAATAAAATAGTTATTTTTTGTAAACACTGTCGGCATTAATTCAACGGAAACTACTTGTCAGTAGTTAGGTTTACAGATATACAAATTTGCCTAACGTTTCGGAAAATTTATCTCTTTCCGTCGTCGGAAGCAAAAAAAAAAATACAAAGAATAAAGAAAAAAACTATTTAAAATATTTAAATTCAACTATTCGAGAGCACTTTAGTTTTTTAAAACAGGGTACGTCTACAAAAACCGTTGACGTTCTGTTAAAATGACATTTATATCAAGTTAAACAAAATTAACAATTAATACCTGATAACAATTACTTAATAAGGTATAACCAAAAAGCCCCAAACTTTCTGTATGATTATTTTTAATTTTTACGTAAGCTATGTTTATTTAAAATCAAAGAAGCTATTGCTATACATATTACTAACATCTACAGATGCATGAGCAATACATTTATTTTTATTAGATTGTATTCAAAAAGCCTCTTTTATTTTTCTTTTAGAGGATATCGCTTCTATCATTATAATTTTGGCGTTATTAAAATTTATTCTGTGCCCTGTGTTCCATGAATGCTGACAAATCTTAGATTTGGGAAAATCTCCCTTTCTTAAATAATCTTTATGTTCTTTAATTCGAATTTCGATTTTGTCAAAAACATGATGGTGAAAACCGCATATCGATATCTGTTACCGTTTCGGAGTTACGGGGTGTTTTTCAAAAATATGCATTTTTAACAAATCGCTGTAACTTTTTTGCTAGCTATGGAAAATTTTGCATTTTTATGAAAACATTTCCAAAGCACCTTTTTTACGTAGAATTCAATGGTTTAAGTATAATTTTTTTAAAATTAATAATTTAAGAATTATCAACAGAAAAGTTGATTTTTTATATGGGACACCCTGTATATTTTTAATTTACTCAAAAGAATTTAAAATTACCTTTCCAAAAATATAACACACTTGATATTTTGCTCGATTCCTCTTCGAGATATAGGGTATATAAAAAATCGCAAATAAAAAATCAATTTTTCTGTTGATAACTCTTAAATTATTATTTTTAAAAAAATTATACTTAAACCATTAAATTCTACGTAAAAAGGTGCTTTGGAAATGTTTTCATAGAAATACAAAATTTTCCATAGCACAAAAGTTACAGCGATTTGTTAAGAATGCACATTTTTGAAAACACCCCGTAACTCCGAAATTGTAACAGATATTGATGTGCGGTTTTCACAATCATGTTTTTGATGAAAATTGTGCTCCAGACACCGATATTAGTTTTCGCCTATCTCCTATAGAAAAGGGTGTTTCCATTTAAAAGCGTCGAATTTGACCCACCCTGTACATGTATAAGCGATATCAATGAAACTTATAGATACGTAATGGAGAGCGCGATTTTTAAATTCATTATTGCCAACCATAGATATAATTCGGCGCAGGGCTGACTAAGTGTAAGTTCACACAGAAAACTATGCGATGCGACGCGTCGCGTTTATTTTAAACTCATAATCAAGGTGCGATTTCCTAGCGACATCTGGCGTCTGCATCTTGCCGTACACTGGTTCGTTTTTTGAACGTACGTGGCTAAACCTGTATATCCATGAAAAGTAATGCATCGCTTTATAAGGAAACAAACCAGTGCGCGGCGGGCCGTTGACGCCAGACGTCGCGTCGCGTCGCTAGGAAATCAGACCTTAAGGTTGTCGCCCACTAGACCGCTGCGCGGCGCGGCGCTGGGAAGAGAATTTTTTCCGGGTGCGAAGGGACTGCGCCCACTATAGCGCGCTTTTGAAACGCGGCAACGCTATTTAGTTATAATCGAAGTGTTTTTTACTTACTGTAGTTTAGTTTTTAAAGCAATGAGTTCAAGTACGGACGAAAGCGTATTTTTTGTGCTCTTCTAACAGAGGAAGAGGAAGAGGGGGTGAGGAAAAGTTTGGACTCATACGATTAACAAAAAAAGAAAGAAATTTGGAGAATTTTACCATCTTTTTCCAGATTTAATAAAAGGCAAAATCATTTTTTCCAGTATTACAAAATATAAAGGAAACATTTTACGCACTCCTCAATTGAGGGTTTTAGAAGAAAAAACACCGGGTATATCTACTCATCATATTTTTTCAGAAGAGACAAATTACTAATATTTTTGATAATTCTTATTTATTCTGATGTGTATATTAGTTATGTGGTCAAAAAAACCCTGATCTTTTTTATATATTTAGATAATTAGAATTTAAAAATTGTCACTTTTGTTAAAAAGTGGAGATTGCCGGTTTTGCCTCTACACCCCTCAATTATATTAAATCTTTGATAGAAAGGCATTTCGTCCATCTGTCTCTAGTGAGGGAAAACTAAAAAAAATATCATATTAATTTATGAAAATCGATTTGCCTAATTTACCTTTAAAAATACAATTCTGCCATTGATACATATCACTAGTTCCTAGTCAAAAAGCCAACTGAAAAGACTCGAATGCAAAATTATCTCCCTTGTGAGTACGCACACTGCAACGCGCCGAAACGCGGGAGACGGAAAAAGTTGCTAGAGAAGTCCTCCGACTTCTTGACGGAAATTCCGTGGCGCGCTTCTGCGCTGCGCGCTCTAATGTGCGTTGGTCCATTTAAATACATGGCAAGCAGACAAAAGAAATTTCCACATGGCGCCGCGCCGCGTCGCGCCGCGGTCTAGTGGGCGACAACCTTTAAGGTGTCTCTGTTGCCACTTGTTTAATGCTTTCATCTATCAAAGAGTATCATATATGCAAAAAAAGTAATAAACTTTTATAAAATTACGGTCCTGCACTGATACTAACATAATTAACACACATCAAGGGGGGCAAAGTCGCGAGCATATTTACATTTCGATTTCGAATAAAGAGAATTACGTCTTGGCGAACCGGCGCGATCCGGTTCGCGGCTTTTTCTTGTCAGGGGGTTTGATAAGAGCCCGCTACAAGTTGGATGCCTGACCCGGTAACCGGTTCGAACCGGTATCCCCGGTCGCGTCGAGTCTTATCAGCCGCTTATCGGGACTATTTTCGATGGCACCACAGACTAGACGGATTAAGCTGCTTCCTCCATAGCTCGATTCGGTGTCATTTTGCGTGTTTTGAAGGTTATTCGGAATGTTTTCGGTTCCCAGGGGGTTCCTGTGCTTGGAGTGCTTGTATTCCTGTATGCCTGTCCATATAGGTATATAAGAATCGCTTTTGAAACGTCCTTCGACGTTGTGCGATACTTAGTCGCCATTGGTTTCGTACATCCCAGTCTCCGTCACGCAGATCCCTTGAGCTCATCGCCTTCTTGACACCCTCCATCCAGTTTGTCCTTGGTCTTCCCCGTTTCCTTCTCTTTTGTGGAAGCCGGTTTAGTATCTTCTGAGGCAGTCGCGTGTTGTCCACCCTTCTCACATGTCCATACCACTTCAGCTGGGCACTCTCCTATTTCCTCTACTATAGTTTTCTGTCTACCCATTTTATCCCTGATTGTCTCGTTTCGGACTCTATCCAGCCTTGATGTTCGTGCTGATCTCCTTATCGCGTCCATTTCTATCGCCAGTCATTTTCTTTTGTTATTCTCCGTTAATCCTCCATGATTGCTCTCGATTCTTCTTCTTCTAGTGCAGATCCATTATTGGATGTTTGCGATAACATTTTCCATTGCTTCTCTGTTCCGGGCGGTGTGTATTAACGACTGAACATCGAGTAGCCCTGTCCACTGTTTAATATTCCTCAGCCAAGACATTTTCTTCCTTCCGATACCCCTCCGGCCTTCGATCTTGCCTTCTATCAACAAATGCAAGAATTGATATTTGGGGTTTCGCATTATGTGCCCCAGGTATGCGGTCTTTTTCTTTTTAATCAGTTCAAATAATTTACGCTCTTTGTCAACGCGTCTGAGAACTTCCTCATTTGTCAATCTAGCCGTCCAAGGTGTCTTCAGGATTCTGCGATATAGCCACATCTCAAAAGCCTCCAATTTGTTGATGGTAGCTGCTTCCAATGTCCAACCTTCCATACCATAAAGGAGCACCGACCACACATAACACTTTGCGAATCTTAATCTAAGACTAAGGTCAAAATCAGAACAGACAAGTACTTTTCGAAACCTCAAGTATGCCTGCCGAGCTTGTTCGATGCGACATTTAATTTCTTTGTCTGATGTCCAATCTTCGGAGAGCCAGATGCCCAAGTACTTAAATTTATCTACTCTTTCTATGGGCCTTGAGTTAAATGTTAGGACGGAGTTTATAAACATATCTGGGTTTCTGGATATAATCATAAATTTAGTTTTCTTGATGTTGATGTTTAAACCCATTGCTTTGCTCTGTTCTCCTACCTTGTTGACCAGTTGTCGTATATTGTCTGCAATTAAGACCGTATCGTCGGCATAGCGGATATTATTAATCCACACTCCATTAACTTTGACCCCCATTTCCACATCCTGCAGGGCCTCTTGGAAAATAGCTTCTGAGTATAAATTAAATAGGAGTGAAGACAGCACGCAACCCTGTCGCACCCCCCTTCTAACTTGTATGGGAATGGACATGGTATTGGACAATTTTATTTGTGCTGTTTGGTTCCAGTATAACTTCTCAATGCATGCTCTTGATTATCGCATCATAAATCCTTAGTTTTCTGTCTTTACTTATTTCGTTACTGCAGAGTATATTATTCAGACATTTTATTGCATTTCTGGCCTTGACTATTCTCGAGCTTATTTCGCTGTCGTCTTTCCCGGATTTATCGAAAGTAACGCCTAGGTATTTGTATTCGTTACATGTTTGTATATATTCATTATCCAGTTTTATTGCTGTTTGATCCTACCCAAGGCAGAGATATTTAGTTTCCGTGATGTTCATCTCCAGTCCCCAAACTTGGTATTCCTCTTTAAGTTTCCGTATCATATATGCCAAGTCATCTTTCTCTCCTGCACAAATAACCTGATCAACAGCGAATTGCAAACAAAGTGTATAAACAAGAATCTTCACTTATTGGTATACTCATGCCCCTACACTTG